TATATATATGAGAGAGAGAGAGAGAGAGAGAGAGAGAGAGAGAGAGGAGAGACATACCTACAATAATAACATAAAAGGACTGTTTTGATAAGGAAATAGCATGTAAATCCCATTTTGAGCAGAAAAAGAATTTCATTTTCGTACTAGAAATATCTCATTCACAACTGACATTGACAAACTAGTCCATGAATTTGTTATTTGAAGAGTGGACTATTGTAATCCTTTACTATCAGTTTACAAAAAGCAGGTAAAAGCCTCTTGCTAATCCAAAAGGCTGAAGCCAGAGTACTGATAAAAGATTAAGGGCAGGAGGGATCATATTTATCCTATTTTAGATTTCGTTCATTGGCTCCCTGGTAATCCCAGAATACAATTACAAATTATTCTTATGTATAAGGTCCTTAAAAAAACAAGGTGCATCTTGATAAAGATATGTGATCCCTTATGTTCCTAAAACAGCTTTTTACTCCCAACATACAGATTTACTGGTTGTATCTACAGTTTTCTAAAAGTAGAATTAAATTACCAGTTTAAATCTACCAGGCAGACACCGCATCAACTTTTAAGACTAGATTTAAAACTTCCCTATTGGCTCAGGCTGCTATAGGACTTACAGACCACTTATTTCATATTCTACCTATACTTTTTCACAATTTGTTCCATCGATCTTTAAGTTCTCTATGCAATTTTTTTTTACTTATGACACAATCTTGGAGGGTGGAATCAGCAGGCGTGCTGCTTTCAATAAATTCTCATTATAGTTAGTACAGTTGACCTTGTTTTTCAGTGTTTTGTCCCGTTTCTCTTCTACAGATCAATATTGACTGGAACTGACTATGTGCTCACTTTTACCTTCTGGACCAGATTATCAGTTCATAATTTTTAAAAGTTTTTCTCCTTGTCATAATCACCTTTGGAGCTAGTTTACCATTACCTACTCTTGCATAGAAAGTCTTCCTGGATCACTGTGTCTGTGTTCGTTTGGTGTGAGGCATCCCTTGACCAAAAGTCTAGTCTGTATATTTGTAAAATGCTTTGAAATGACCTGTTGTGAATTGATGCTATACAGAGCTCTGTCAGATGTCCAAAGCTTCAGATATTGTTTACGTATAATCTAATCATTTGTCAAACTTCTCAACAACCCTATTCTTGGCCCGTCAGCTTTGTTCCTTTTCCTACATGCCTATGACCTTGACAGAACTACTGAAATTATAAACAAGGCAAGTTTGTTATAGCACAATTCAAATTTCTTTACATAAATTAAAATAAAAGCACATAAAGATTAAAAAAACATTTGTAAAAACAACTGGACCCCAACCTTAAATCACTCAGTTAGCAGTTTAACTTTAACAGTCAAAAGCAGTTCTAAATAAAGAGTTTTTCATTTTGACTTAAAGAACTCAGGCTTTGAGCACTTTGACAGTCAGGATAAGCAGCATTTAGTTCATATGCTCCACTTATCTGGGAGGAACCCCCAGATAAGTGGAGCATATGAACTAAATGCTGCTTATCCAGGTTTGGTTCTACAGTAGTCCTGAGGTCTTCTTGAACTACAAGACCTGAGTGGTATGGGAGGTTGCTACACTGAAAAAAAAAAAAAACAACATTCTGTATTGAGGTGCTGATCTATTCAGTGATTTATAGACTAACAGAAGGATTTTAAAGTCTATTCTGAGCTACAAAGAGCCAGTGTAAGGACTGTCATGAAACAAGACAGATGGACCCAGTATTCAAGGTAAGACAGACAGTAGGCAAGTTAAAAACATTTACCGGTATTAAAATAAAAAGACAGAGACAGAACTGGAGCAGGCTTCTGAGGATCTGCGGTCCTGTAGCGACTGCAGGAGGGGACGGGGCACAGCCCAATCATTGACAACTATGGTTTAGGGAGAAACACAGGTAAGTGACAACAGTCATCTGAACAGGAGATTATCAGAGTGAGTCACTTATCTGCTTTAACAGTTCAGTCCATCCTATCAATCATAGGCAGGATCAACCGATGCACTGCCAACAAGATGCAGCTCTGAGCCGTCTAGAGCGTCCCCGATGCAGCAGCCCCAGAGGGCAAGAAGGACTCCGATCCAGCTCAGGGATTAAGATCAATCTCCAGTAGTTCTAAAATCGACGAGTCCACACAGGAACAGACAAATACGGGTTCCAGGAATCCAGAGATTGAAGACATGTTCAGAGTCCCGTGCATCAAGCATCCAGCTCAGACAGAAATGCACAGACAGGCAGAATCCAGCAGGAGTCCAACCATGGTTAGTGGAACAGATCAGGCTGTCATGATCTGGCCTGTTTGCTCCTCCCTAATTAGTAATTCCTCTCACCTGCCGTTTTCCTTCCCTGCCTCACTTATAATTTATTCCTCTCACCTGTTTCCTCTGGTTTATATTCAGTTCAGCCAGAGCATTCAGTGCCAGATCATTGCTTGTCTTTCTGTTCAGTTTTATTTGGTTCATGTCCTGGATCCTAGCAGCCAGTGGAAAGAGGGTTTTAGTGTTTGTCTCGTCTCCTGATCGTCCACTGTCCCACCCCCGCGGAGTCCTCTGGGTTTTTGGCTCATTATGGGGGGAGGTTCAGTTTTTATCAAAGTAAGCCTGGCTCCAGGGTGGAGACCAGTTTAAAGTCCTGCTTCAAGTTCCGGTTCCTACGTCCTGTCTCGGCTACCCTCTTCCACTGAGCCTGCCTGTCTGCACCTGATCCTGTCTGCTCCTGTGCGTGACCACCTGGTCATGCTTTTGGTCCCAGTCTAACTCTGAACCCTCCTGGAAGCCTGTGGATGCCTGGAAGTCTGGATCCTGCCACCTGTTTCTGTTCCTGCCTGATCTGGATCCTGCCTGTTTCTGTCTGTTCCTGTTTGTTCTGGATCCCTCACCAGGATCAGCTTTCAGCATAAACTCTGGGACTGCAGCACTGGGGACACTCGTGGTCTGGACTGTTAAACCAGGTAAGTGACCAACCCAGATAATCATATATCAGTTTATCGTGGTCACTTACCTGTGTTTCCTCCCTGGAGTGTCTGAGATTGGGCGGTGTCCCGCATATATATATATATATAGGTCCCTATTCTGGGTCTTGGTATGAATAAGTGGCAAGAAAAACAATAACCATGGCGAACGATGATGCGCAGCGCAGTATTTATGTTTAACTATCTGGAAAAGATTTTGCTTTTATGGTTGGGAAAGATCGCTAGATGCGCACCAACTCTACCATCCATGTTTACTTCCGTAAACACAGAGAACACTGGCCTGTGATGTCATTGTGTCCTTTACTGCGCATTTGGGACACATGTTGTATGACTGCAGTACACATAGGCGGTTACAGCAACTAAAAAAATTGGATCTCACAAAAAAAAATTGGAATTGAGCATCAAGG